TTGAGAAGGAATCTTACATGCCAAACACAATAAATTAGCAAGCCCCTAATACTAACAGGGGTTAAAAAACAATCATCTAGTCAACCAGTAAAACAACAAACAAAATTACAGAAATTAGAAAATATTTCTCATTAATAATCTAAAGACTTATCAGCCTTAATGCACCTTAAAGAGACGCAGAATGACTGGCTAGGTTTAAAAATAATCTCTAAGTATTTGTCATCTCCCAGAAGCACTCCTCACTGGCAAAAATACCACAGCCACAAAGTCAAAGGATGGGAGTCAATACATCAAGCAAATGGAAGCTTAAAATAGAAGCCAGAGGACAACTTGTAATAGTCAGTCCTCTCTTTCAACTATGGGAGTTCCGGGAGTTGATCTCATGCTCTCAGAACTTTTAGCCAACGATCTATCTCACTAGCCTATGACACCCATTTTATGATAACAAATGATAACTGGAGAAAAAGGTCAAATACTTCCTGATCCAAGTCCTTCCATAATAATAGTGGAAAACTTTAACCTGCCACTCTCATTTTAGATATGTCATCTGAACTAAAAGTAACAATAATTCAGAATTAAAATATACCACAGATCCAATGAATTGAACAACATTTACTGACAATTCTCTCTAACAACTATAGAGCACACTTTCTTCACAAATACCCATAATCTTGAAATAAACTAAATTGTAGACCACAAAAATGTTTTTAACAAAGACAAAGTAATTTAAATAACTTACCATAACTTATCAAATTATCACAAGGTTAAACTAGAAATAAATATAAAAGAAATCACATAAAGATATGGGCACAGGAAAAGATTTTCTGAAAAGAATTCTAACAGTGTAATAAATAAGACCCGAAACTTACTATTGGAAACACAAGAAAGTCTATATACAAAAGACATCCTTCTTAAAAAGAGACAAATGTCAATTTGTCAGATAAGAGATTAGTATTTTGAATCTATGAAGAAATCAAAAGAATAAATAGTTGAAAATTAAATCATACAATCAACAAAATACTACTGAACAAAAAGCTCTCCGAAGTAAAATGAAAAATGTATTGGCAATTTTTAACAAGAGATAGTGATGCTGCAAAATATAGCTTTGAAAAAAAAAGAATTATCTACCATAATGAATATGAAAAGTGCTTACTAATGAGTTTACTAATTTACTAATGTATAACAAGTTATCTAAATGCTACTGAGATAGTTCCTATTTGTGAGGTAGAAATTATGGTAACTGCCTCATAACCTCAATCATATATATTACAATTACTTATGGCTGCCATATTCTCTTGAATGTATAATAAATGGCTTGTCTGATCCCTTTAGTAATTTTATGCTATAGTTTTGTTCTACCCTCTCAGTATTTGGAAACATTATTATAGTTAAACACATCTGCTAATGACAGTCTGCAAAAATTCAGATTTTAAATTATGTAGAAGAATTTTATATTCCTCTTTAAATTTCATTTATTCATCATGAATCTAATCTTGGTCACAGGAAATAGGCTGTTTTCTTAGGAATGCATTTAGTATTTGTTTTACAGAAAGGATAATTATACTTTGTTTTCAATCAGGTGTTATAGAAAACTACTGAGAAATTAATCCAACACAGAACCCCACCAAGATACACATATGCCTCAGAACTCAGTCTCTGGCCGGGCGGTGGTGGCGCACGCCTTTAATCCCAGCACTCGAGAGGCAGAGGCAGGCAGATCTCTGTGAGTTCGAGGCTGGGCTGGACCGACAGCCTCCAAAACAGTACAAAGAAACCCTGTCTCAAAAAAAAAAAAAAAAAGAACTCAGTCTCTGGCAGTTTATGTTTCACTGTGGATTCCTGTACAATACAATCCCCACATTTAAGTGAAGCAAAGGGAGGTGAGTTTCTTGTCAGAACACATTTCCATCTTTAAATTAGTTCAACAAACTTGTTAGTTATGTAATAGTCCAAACTTTATTATTTTAATCAATGTATAACTTTTAGAGCTTTCTATTTTTTCCAAGGGGGGAAACAACTAAAAACTCATGGCTGCTTCAATCTATTATTTTCTGGTAACTACTTGTCTTATTTCAGAATGGAACATTTTTTTCAAACTATTTTAAGATTCTGAGTCATATCACTTTTTTGCCATTTATTGACATTTATATAACTTCCCACTAATTAAATTTGTCATTTGAAAAGTGCCTATTTGTGTGAGATTTATGAATTTTTATGGGGCTGTCTCTCAAGAAAGTTTTGCAGTTGGATCACTATCTGTCCCTCAAATAGCCTGTAGACCACTATGTCCTTTGGAAGCAGTCTAAGGCTCACTTTCTTTATATACTTCAATGATGAAATTGATTATAACACCATTAGATCATAGTTTTAAAGAATTAAATTAATCTTGTCTTTTAAAAAATATTCTTAAATAATAAATATTCTTTGAGAATTTCATACATGTGTACAACATATTTTGACTTATCTTCTTATTAATATGATTTTTCTAATTATTTTCCATAGATTTTTTAAAGTATTTGCATAGATTCCTTCCAATAATAAGGTAGATCAATATAGGCAGTTAGTCATTCTATCTGACTAGTTTTAAATTCCTAAGGGAGTTTTGAAAAGTATAAGTTATTGACTATTTATACTTTACAATGCCATCAGTTGTGAAATGTGTCATATACTTTAATATTTTATTTCTTTCTTGTGCATATATCACCATTCTTCATTGTATCCATCTTTAAGCTTAGTAAGGCAACGTGCTATCTAGGGGCACATTAAAAATATTTGATGCCTCCACAAATCCATGGCCTTTTATCCTTGCAGAGCCCTGTCCACGCTTGTTGTTGCTGTAATCAAGTAATTTTCTCATTCTTTCAATAATTTTCTCCAACAGCCTATTCCTAAAGCTTTCAGAGCACACTTCTCTGAACCCCACTGCACTGCTGAACAGAGCCACCAAGGCCAATCACAAGGAATGGCTTCAATATTCTGCCCCCTAAAATGTATTGATTGATATCCATCACTCCTATCTCAAAGAAATGATGACTGTTTCCCTGTGTGTGTTAGCACTTTTTCTTGTTTTCTCTCTCAGTGGGCCCTCCTGTTGTGTCTTCTGCTACTATGGTAGCTAAGCACAAAGCTTTGCACTGGTGGCCTTCTATCAGAGGTACTTCTTCCTGGATACTTTACAGCAAAATATACTTTCTCTGTAACTGAATAACAATCTTTTCTCTGCTTACACCTTTTCTCACTAACTAGACATTGCTGGCTAACAAAGCCTCAATGTGTATAATGTACCTTTTCAGAGTCTTTCCTTGTAATCTAACCTGTTTTGGTTCTGAGTCACCTTCAACAACCCATAATGGTTTAGAACCTGCCTCTTGACCTCTTTGCAGCTTTTATGAAGATTAAGCTTGAGAAATTAAGATTTATGGCATCAGTTTTTAATACTGGTTTTATATTAGAATGCTCTAAAATATCTCTAAAATCATTATGAGTGACCAGATGCTTTTCAAGTAACCTGACTCAGAATACTGGTTGTTTATAGACCTAGGAACTCTTCCTTTCCTCCTATCTCCCCTCCCCTCTCTCTCCCTTTCTTACACTACTTCTACCTCCCTTCTTTCATCTTTTCCGCTTCCCTTTTTACTTCTGACATCTTTTTTTTTATCCTTTCATTTAAAACATAGACACCCATAAAGAGAATAATTGCATTGTTCATGAGTATATATGCAGGTACCCACTCTGTTATTTGCTGTTTAGGCCACATGCACAAGTTAATCTGAATGGTTTTTACTACCAACTTGAGACACTCGAATGATAATGTCTACCTCAAAGAGCTTTGCTGTAAGCACTGCCATTGAGTCTCACAGCAACATATTTTAAAATGCTACAGAAAAACACAACCAATCAAATGCAGGGTTTCAGAGCTCAGTCCTAACTGATGTTTCTACCAAACACTTCCATACCCAAGGCTCAAAGAACACTGAGTAGGAGGGAGCAGAAAGCTTGAAAGAGCCAGGGGATAAGTGAGCTTGCTGTAACATCAGAGGCTACATCCATAGGTTTCCCCAACACAACCACCCAAATATGAGCTAAACATGGACAGTACCAACAGACATGCCAGAGTGGAAGGGAAAAGTCCAAGAAGCTTCAACCCTACATGAAGAACTACAGACAACTGGGGAAAACAGGTAGCAGAAACGGTGGTCTTTCCCAAGGAAGATTATACCAGCTGATTGTCCAGTGCCAAATGGTCAGTCCCCAAACCATGCATACAAGTAACAGTATATGGAGTGGACAGGTAATATTTAGTAATATGTGTATATTTATCTATATACATATATTCATGAATTAACTACTAGTGGGGAGCAAAAGAGTTTATGAATTTGAAGAAGAGTGGGGAAGAAAAGGATGGTTTGGCAGGAGGAGAAAGAAGGGAAAAATAGTGTAATTGTGTTATAATCTCAAAAAATTAAAAATTTTAAAAATTGTATCTCATGGATCATGGATCATGTATGTCTGATATATCCAAATAAGACAATAGCTTCCTGTTTTCCCTCAAATTCAGGGCTAATTTCATTTGGTTTTAACATTTCAAGGCTTAACTAAACTGTGGCCTTTGTTAACAAATATCATGGCTCCTTCATCCATGCATTGTGTCTTTTTCTTCTTTCTTTCACACATCATCATAGCATGTTCCCTGGTAATCTCAGAAAAGGACTTCCTTGCTTGTTACAGACTTTCCTGTCATTCTTGCTCCATTTCCTGAGCTTTATGGCTCTTCCCTTTCCATTTGTGTAAAACAACTGCCATTGTGTATCTGTGCTGACTAATCTTGTTTTTTTTTTTTTTTAACATTCATGAAACAGTTTATTTGCCTACCTCTGCAGGCAGGCCACTCCTTGTGAGGAGAAATGTCCATAGTTTTACTCTGCTTGGATGCAGCTTGTGTCCACAGGAGAGACTATGGTCAAGTTAGCGCTAAGCTAAACAACCTGAGAGGCCCAGACTCAGCTCCACTTTATGTTCTTGTCCTCCTCGGTCATGGCTGGTGTATCAGTGACAATGCCACTGCCATCCCTCAAAGTAAACGCTGGCCTTTCTCTAAAATCATGGGTTGCTGCAAGACTAGGCTGAGCTTTAAGTCCTCTCCAGGCATGGCAAGCTCCTTCCCTGGAGGCAAGATGACATGACAGGCCATGTCCCAAGTCAGGGAGAACATGACAGGCATAAAATGAGATATAAGTGGTTTGTCGCGGCCACCCTCCTCCTTGCTGAGGTTGTAAACCTGAGCCTCTACCTTCTGGTGGGGCTGGATGGAGCCTGGCTTGACCACGACCAAACCATGCCTCAAATCCTCCTGCTTTAGGCCTCGGACCAGGGCACCCAGGTTATCCTCTGCTTCAGCCCTTTCAAGGCTCTTGTGGAACATCTCAATGCCTGTCACTATAGTTTGAATGTTCTTGTTATGTCCCAGTAACTCACACTCATACCTCTTCTTCAAAATGCCACGTTCTAGTGTATCAGTCACCACTGTGCCCCGGCAGGGAATGGAATAAACTGACTCTATGGGGAGCAGAAAGGGCTTCTCCAGCTCCCAGGTAGGGACCGGGATGTAAGTGTCCACGGCGTCCAGCAGCTTCTGCGCTGACTTCACACTTAAATCGGGGTCACGTTGCTCAAGGGCACAGAGAGCAGAGTCTATGATTACTGAGGCCTCCTCTCCTTTATATCCAAACTCAGTGAGCAGCTCCCGGATCTCCAGCTCTACGAGCTCTACCATCTCCGAGTCCTGGACAGCTTCTGCCTTGTTCACGTACACCACAATGTGCTCCACCCCAATCTGTTTAGCCAGTAGTAAGTGCTCTCGGGTCTGGGGTATGTGGCCGTCATTAGCTGCCACAACCAGGATGCAGCCATCCAGTGGGGCAGTGCCTATGGTTATATTCTTATCATAATCTGCATGACCAGGGCAGTCTGTGTGGGCATAGTGGCAGGCAGCAGTGCTATACTCCACATGAGCTGCATTGATAGTGACACCCCGAGCTCGCTCCTCAGGGGCATTGTCTATCTCCTCATACTTCTTGAACTTAGCTCCAAAAACAGCGTTGACAGGACACTTAAGAGGGTAAATATGAATAAACTGCAATGGATGCAAAACCCAAGAGCTTAGTGTAGTCCTCAGCAGCTCTGACCCTAGAAGCAGTAAAACAGGTAAGTGGGCTCTAAACAGGAAACCTGAGATCTAAACAAAGCTTGGTCTTATGATTCCGTTTTCCTTCCAGTGGTAATTCACATGGTGTCAGCAATTTGGCAGTTAGGACTTTACATGGAAGGTGGCAGACTGTTACAGTGTGGAACCAATGAACTTTTAGCTAGGTAGAGAAGTCCCACCTCTTCACTTCCTGTCCCTCTGTGCAGAAATAGAGCAGTAAAAGTTCTTTTCCAAGGAAAGATAATGTGAGAATAAAAACAACCATTGATATCACTTACTGATGGATTGTAATGTGGGACTGTAAATTAAAACAAACCCTTTCCTCTCCAAGTTGCTGTCAGCTGCAGTGGTTTTTCTGTTTGTTTGTTTGTTTGTTTGTTTCGAGACAAGGTTTCTCTGTGTAGCTTTGGAGCCTATCCTGGCACTTGTTTTGTAGACCAGGCTGGCCTTGAACTCGCGTAGCTCTTCCTACCTCTGCCTCCCCAGTGCTGGGATTAAAGACATGCACCACTGCCACCAGGCTTGGTTACAGTTTTTTTATCAAAACAATAAAAACATTAACTAAGACATGAATAATGGTGAATACCGTTGTCTTTATTTTCCTGGAAAATGTAAAGAAATGCCCTCTCACGCAGACAGTGCACTGTGAACATATCAAGAAAAAGTTTCCACTGAAGTCTGGCATAGTGAATAATTAATTCATTGGGGTTAATTCCAGGGCTATGAGTGAGGGGTTCCTTACAGAAAATGATGAGTTAAAGGCTTCTGCATCAGCCAAAGCTCATCCAGTCCTGGAAAAGCGTCACAGAACCTGCAGCCTTGAAGCTCCTTACACAGCTTGCAGGCTGTTGGGCTGACCACTTGAGTATCTTCTCCTTAGCGACCATCACTGCTTGATAACCTTTCTGCATCTTCTCTTAGCTTCCAGATGCCTATAAATTTTGGTTACTTCTTGAGACTGCTAACCTTTCTTTATTTTCAGTCTTAAATGCCTTCCCTCTATAAAGGAATCTTTCAAGTTTGTAGAAACAGCTACTCAACATTAACCTTCAAAAAGACATGGCTCATACATAGTAGAACTTTGACAACCAAAAAGAAAAAAGAAAAAAAAAAGAAACGGGAAAAAATAAGAAAAAGTCAGATTTAAAACGAGTACTGCTTTTGAAAATAAAAACCAATGGGATAAAACTTAGTTGAAAAACATAATTTAAGAATATAATTTAGGTCCTGCTTGATGTCATTCAGCTCAGGCAGGTGCTAGCCATCCACATGCCAGCCTGGGACATCAAAGCCTGGGGTGACTGAAGACAGCCACAGGGCCCTGCCAGGTGCTAGGTGGACAGCTGCTATCACTATGAGCAAATGTGTGCTACCGAAATGGGAGGGAAAGAAAAGCAGAATGATTCATGCGCTGTGGAAACAGATGGATGGGAAGAAGTGAAGGCAACGAGGAACAGGCTGGTGTGAGTGGCTTGCTTGCCACCTGGGGCCATGGTGACCCCCAGGTCAGGCTGCTGCTGAAGGCCATATCTTGGTCCATGGCCCTATCCCATCCGTGGTCTGTGTTTAACAGCCATGGCCCACATTACCTCCAAAGGTCACATGGAAGCCTGGGATCTGGACTGAAACCTGTTGCCTTGTTCGAGTCTGAGGGCCACACTGCAGCTGGAGCCATGATGTTCTGAAAGACCTGTGCTGCCACTTGGGGCAATGGTGATGTCCAGACCTGCTGCTGCTGAGGACCATGTCTGGATCCATGGTCCTACCACAGCTGGAGTCTGTGTTGAAGTCCGAAGCCTTGTTGGTGTCCGGGGCTTGTGCTGTCACCTAAGCCATCCTGATTTGGGTGGCCTTTGATTTCACCTGAGCCATGATGTCATCCAAACTCAAGTTACTACTGAGGGCCATGTCTGGGTATGGGGTCCTGCTTGCAGCTGGGATCTGTGTTGATGTCTGTGGCCCATGTTACCATGGGGGAAGGAGGCAGGCATAGGAACCATGTGTGATGAAATCAGAGAGCCATGCTGTGCCGGCTCCACCCTTTATTGGCCCTGGGAAAGCTGGCCCTGCCCCTTACTGGACACTGCAGCAACAGAGTTGGTCACAACCCCCACAGGAGAGCTGGCCTCTCCACTTTGGAGAGATGGCCCCACCCCTCAATATGGGTGTAGGAGAACTGGCCTGGTAACATGGGCATAGGAGAGCTGGCTCCACCCCTTGTCTGAGGAGGGACATCAGTGGCCCAGACGGAACAACTCAGCACCACCCAGGCACACATCTAAGGCTTGGGTTGGACCACCATAACACCCACCTCATCTGTGACATGTTAGAGCATGAAGGGACTCGTACTGTGGAATGACACCTGCAGGATCTCCACGACACCTGGTAGGTGGGGAATATCCAAGAGGAGTTTCAGTGAGGGTCCAGCAATTATGATGTACCAGAAACCAGAGGCCTTGAGCCAGACCAAGGACTCATTACAATGAACATTTGTAAGTAAAGCTGATTGAACTAAAGAGAATGCTATGTGACACATTGAAACTTCCAAAGCCGCTATGATGAATTAAGAGATGTTAGAGAGATGGGAACGACAGAAGCAAAGAGGTGTTTTTGTTTGTTTGTTTTGGCTTAGTTTGATTTTATTTTGTTTTATAATTTCCTTTTGGGGGGATGCTGTAAGGGTGAAGGGAAATGAACAGATTTGGGATACATGATATGAAATTCCCAAAGAATCAATAAAGAAATAATGCCAATAATTAAAAAGAATATAGTTTAGGAATATAATTTAACCAAGGCATTAAAAATCTAAATGGTTTGTGTGGGGGGTTGTTTTATCTTTTATGCATAATAATATAAAAGAAATAGAAGAGTATAGAAGAAATGAATGAAGAAATGTGTCAGGAAAAATTTTAAAAATTAAACAAATTTTCATGTCCCAGAAGACTACCTTTTAGTCAACAGGTAGCATAGAAAGGGATGACAAAGAAAGAGAGGGTAGGAAACAATCAAGATATGACAGAAAAAAAATTCCTTATTGTGTCTTCAAACTTAAAGGGGTCTGCTGTATATCCAGCTTGATGACTCAAATTTCATTTCTCCACTGATCACATCACTTTGAATCTTCAGAATACCAAGGACACAGGAAAAAAAACAACTTAAAGATGTCCAGAGACAAGAGAAATATTTCTCTCAAGAGAACAAGAATGAAAATGTCCTTAGGTGTATTTCCTCATTAAGACTGGATGCTAGACAATGGAGCAATAAATTCATATTTCTCAGGAAATTGGATATGAACTTGGGAATTCTTACTCAAAAAACTCAATGAAATGTAAAGTCAGAATAAAAATGATTTCAAGCTTGTAAGGGATTTAATAAAACAGGCTTCCTTGTGACCTTCCAAGAGTTCCTGGAGTAAGAATTATTGTCAGAAACAGTAGCTTGAAGGCTACTGAAAAGAAAGGACAGGCTCACTGTATCTGTGAGAGGAAATAGGTGGAGACTCATTAGAGCAGACCAGAAGACACTAGAACCACAAGAATCTATGCCACGGTTAATGCATATGAAATGGCTGACAACAAAGGAACATGGTGAAGGCTACATAACGCAGTGAAAACAAAGTCCTTGGAAATCATAAGGAGGAACAAAGTTCTTATTAGATCACCACAATTTACTTTCAAATCTGTGAACTGTGGCATGATTTTAAACAATTTATTCAAGTGTAAGCGTAAATACAACTCAACCTCTACTAAGGAACTTTCAGTTTTAGAGGACGTTAGGTTGTGCATGGTATTAAACATATTAATTCAGTAATCCTCCAGTAAATATTTCATGGCGAAAACTACATAGTTGTATCACAACAGTACTTATTGGATTACAATGTACAGATATAAGTTACTGTCAAAGTATAGATTGCAGAAGGAATGTAAGTAAGAAGGATTTACAAAACGCGTATATCCTGATGAATTCCAGTAGTATATTTTTGTAATTCTCCAGGTATAGGATGAGCAATCAATTAAATGAATAGCTATTAATATGAAGCATATCTGTCATGGGACAGAATATTTGTTAACTAATTAAAGATGTGTTACATGTATTTATGTTGCAGAATAATTGTTTAACTATGTAAAGGTGTGTTGCTTTTGTGTATGCTTCATTTATTTAATTGTGTAAGGATATGTTGCTTTTTCACCTTGCCTGCCTAAGGCACTGACTTGTCTAATTAAAAGCTGAACAGCCAAGGCAGAGGAGGGATAGGTGAGTCTGGCAGGTAGAAAGAGAAGGGGAGCCAGCCAGCCAGCTAGCAGGTCCCAGCCCACCAGGGGCCAGATAGACAGACACGGATGAAGTAGGAAAGCAGGATGGACAGAACATAGATGAGGTAAATGAGCCTTGGGAAGCACATACATTAATATAAATGGGTTAATTTAAGTTTTAAAAGCTAGCTAGAAAGAAGCCTAGGCTAAGGCCAAGCATTCATAATTAATAATAAGTCTCTGTGTCATGATTTCGGAGCCAGTGGTCCAAGCAAGCCTGCTGTACATATTAGATTCTGGATCTTTTAGAAAATTCCTAACATCTTGTGCATTATTCTATTTTTAAATGGTTTCAGAAGAAATGACTCAGATATTAATGTGGCATAAATGTATCTTCAAGGCGCCTTTCAGCTAACTTTTTAAATTATGTAGTAAATATATGTAAAATATTACGCCTACAGCAAAAATTACTAGCAATATGAAATTATTTTATTTTTTCTGCCTTATGAATGTGAAAAATGTTAATTACCATTTATAGCTCAGTGAGTTCAGATGCCACTAAATAAAAGTCTCAGCCTTAGATATTAGTCTATTATATTTTGATATTGATCTTTTAGAATTTAATACAATATAAGAAGCATTAATGCAGAAGGATTTAATTATAAAAACATTGGCAATTTCATTAATAGTACAGTTTGAATCATGTACCTCTTGTGTCACTGGTACACAACTTTTGACAATGGTAAGATCAGTAAAGGACAACCATGATTTCCTCAATGTTGACTGTTAGAATGGTTTTGGGAACTAAAATGACAGAGCAAAGCTGGGACTAGGGCAGTGCCCTCTGAGGCAGTGCATTTCAGGAGATATTTATACAATCTTCCTAGATCTAGGCCCAGAAGACCCATCCTACAATATTTGCAGATCTGCACTTACTTACAGGGGCAGGAGAAAGGGGAGATGCAGCATGGAAAGTACCAATTCCAGCCACACGTTTGCAGATTGCTTGGGACTGAGATTTGCTGGTTCAAATTCTGAATCTTACTTCTTTTCTTCCCTTTTACAGTGCTAGGGATTGAATCCAGGGCAAATATTCTGCCATTAAGCTGTCTTCCCAATCCTACATCCTTCCCTTTTCAAAGACCTTACACATGAACTTTGGATACAGGACCAGCAATTGCCTACATGTGAAGGACATTTTCAGAGCCAGGGTGTCCCAAATAGAGCATGAGCTCAGGTTCCTTCTGATGGCCACCTCCAAGATATATCTTTTCTGTATCACTGGCCCAGTCAGAGAGTTTCTGAGTATATCAAGGTCTCAAATACAGATGTATATCATCAGAGTCATTGATCTCTACAGTGTGAACACAATCCCATACACACTACCTAGAAGTCCCCAGACTAGGACGAGCTTCATTTTTCATCAGTGTGCCCTACCAATGGATCAGAGTTCAATACCATGAAATTCTTGTTCAGTAAAATAACTCAGACACACTCTAGGCTTCCTGGCATGTCACACTGACGTTGGAGAAACAGACATCTGATTCTTTTATTCTGTCACTAGTATTCTAACCAACTATTTCTAAGAGAACTTAATTTTCTATTTTCTTGTTTAAAAAGAGAATGGATCTCTTTGTCATGGAGTTTATTTTCTGGAGCTGAAAGCATTCTCATTCCTACAAAGGAAAACATCCCTACACTCAGCTACTTGGAGCAAAATGGGTAAATGTGGCAAAGTACTAACCAAGAGAAAGCCTGGGCATAGGCAAGCATCTTAGTGTTCTAACCTTTGGAATTCCTTTTTTTATACAAAACAGCTGTTTTTTTAAAGCAGTTTTATATGTTTCCAAAATAATATGGACTTAAATGTGTAGTGTTGGGCTGGAGAGATGGCTCAGTGGTTAAGAGTACTGACTGTTCTTCCAGAGGACCTGGGTTCAATTTCTAGCACCCACATAGCAGCTTACAATGGTCTGTAACACTAGTTCCAGGGGATCTGAATATCTTCACCCTAATGCACATAAAATAAAGGTTAAATAAATCATTTAAAAAATGTGTAGTGTCATAAACATTTGGTGATTTAGTCACGCGTTTTCTCTACTTACTCCAAGCGGGATCTGTGGGAGAATATACCTGCACCTAACTCTAGTTTACCTCTGCTCATTTTCCTTTCTTTTACCTCTGTTTGCTTTATAGTCCATGGCATTTAGCTTTCCACAATTTTCCAGTCAGACATTATTTTGTTTTATTTTATGAGATGACAGTTTAAACAATTCTTCACATTCAACAGAGATTAGGACACTACAGAAAACACTTCTAAGTAAAAATTTGAGTAAAGAACCAAATAATCACATACTGTGCCTTCCTGGGAATTCAAACTATTCTTAGATTTAATCTTTAGACAACCAGACATAAGTCTTATTTTTGCCTATTTTGCTGTAACTGAGTTTTTTATTTTTATGAAGCTTAAGTAGAATATTTCAAATTTTATTGTAATAAGGACAA